TTGTGGTAATCCAGCACTGGTGTTCTCTGAAATCCAGGAATTTAAGTACACTCTTTTTGGGGGGAGGAAGAAAGTGAGTCTTTTGTAGATATGCTCTTACCCCACCTTACCACCATCTCTACAGATCTCTGACCTGTGGTTCTCTTCTCATTGGCAGAAATTATGCATGAGACATTACATTTGCACCTTCTTTCTGTTGAGTTCTCCCCACTCCAGGCTCTTAGGAGCTTCTAAGTAAACTTCATGCCAGCTCTGACTCTCCCTCTTGTATGTACTGTAACTTGGCCACATAAGGGAAACAGGAGTGCATCTTTTGACTTCACATATCGAGAAAGGTGGGCCATCCCTAAAGAGGAAACCTCTCCTCACATTTAATTTGGTAGAACTGGCCAACTAGATTCTTTAGAGCAGTCTAAGCACTATTGAATCAAATTGGTTCCACTGAATCAACTTTTCCTAGACTTGCGTGAAGGGATCAGAAAGGTAGGACTCACAGTTGAGAAATAACTCTTTCAAAACTCTTTTCCTAATCTCCAAGTTTCCCTCTCTCCAATTTCAAAATATCACTAATTGACATACAGCTAATAGTCTCAAAATCTCTTCTGCAAGTATGTGGTATGTGGGAGTAGTAGTCTTCTCTTGCTTTGGGGCCTCAACCAAAACCAAGATAGAGATACCCATTTGAACATACCAGTGCAAATTGTTGTAGGACTTGTCTATACAGTTTACCAAAGATGTTTTACAGAAGCATATTCCAAGCAGTTGTAACATGTGCAGATCCAGCTGGAGGATTTACACTTAATAAGCCTAAGTCAGTGCTTCATGACATTTTTAGCCAGATTCTGAAGTATTTTAGATGCATATGCAAAAATGTCAGGGTGCAGTGAGTTTAATCAGTGGCTTTCAGAAGCCAATGAACATCTGGGTAATTTTCTAGTTAACTAATTGAATTAGAGATTTAGAAATGTTCAACTAGAAAGTCTAGACAGCTTTTAGGCTTCATTACCTTTTTGGATAGAAGGATAGTTATGTAGTTTCTTTTGCTATAGAGTCAACTGAGAAGTACCGGAGTACAGAACAAATTAGCAAAATCATGTTATATATACCTTTAAGATTAGAAACAATTTACATGAACAAAATTATTGAATAATTTGTCTGTTGACACTCCTAAAGAATAACACATTATAAAAATATATTTGGAGCGTAATAAAACTTAAGCTTATGCGTAAAATCTCATTTAAGTATTTTTTAAATTAAAAAAATAATATGGTTCAGGTTATATAGCTTAATTTTTAGAAACAGTAAATTCTAAATTCAAGGTGAATACAGGAAGGTGTTATGGGAGATTTGTTATTAAGAATAACCACATCATGATATTGAATTTATTTGTTTGTTTATTTATTCATGTTGAAAGAGTCAGGGATACTTTAGATTTCAGACTAGCAGTCATTTATTCCCTCTGTGTTCCACAAAGGAAATTTATGTTCAAGGGAAAGGAAAAAAAAAAAAGAGGATAAAATTAGCATTTTGTTGATGGTTGGTGAGTTGACCTAGAAAAAGTGGACAGATAGACACATCCTATTTTAGATGATAGACACCTTCCACCAAAACTCTTCTGTTTTCTCCTAAGCCCATGCTTGAGAAAGCCCACATTTTAGTTATTAAATTAAACAAAAGGAAAAAGAATATTTTGCCCTGTTTTTAAAGTGTGGTTAACCCAGGCTGCCCAGTCCAGGCCTTTTCAGGCCAGAACTTTGGCCCAATATGTACATCTACTCACCAAATGACTTTTTAGACCTGGGCAATATTTCTGGGCCAGCTGCCAAATGGGATAAGATAATGAAGATCTAGTAAGGAGAGAAAAAGCCTGTCAAACCTGTTTCAGGTAGCCCCGAGAGTTTTTACTAATCCAGCCACATGCAAGTAAGAGACCCAAGGAATGACACATCATGGGCACTCTAACCCTCAACTCAACACAGTGACTCTACCTAGGACGATGAATGTTCAATAAAGTGTCTTTAAACTGGAACACTGCTCCTTGTGGCAATGATATCATCATTTATCCTTGGGAAGAAAGGTGAAGAAGACAGGGAAGGGAGGAACCATGAGGACCTCTGAGGCTAAGAGTTCCTTTGCCATTTAATGGGAACTAAAATATTAACTTCTTTGTAATTGTCTAAAGCAGAATTAATTAGAATAGCCTAGAAAGATAAGAGATTTGTGACTAAAGGTTCCTTCATATTAGGATATTATTATGACATGTTAACTTTAACTTTTACAGTCACATTTTTTATAATTATCTTTAAGGAATTTGTGAAGTGAGCTATGGTATAATTGAAACAATAATCTTCAGTAGCAATATTCTTCCTATTTAAATCTCAACTGCTTTGTTTTCAATGGAGTTTTCTGTGTTCTGATGATCCTTGACAAGCCTTGATTTTATAGTAATTCATCTACAAAGCATGAATATCAGTATTGTTTGTGGAGTTATTAATATGTATTGCATCTGTAGTAATGTTTCTGATTTAAATTTTTTTTCATTTAAAATACTATCAAATTTATTGTGACATATCATTTGGAATTTTTCAAAGAAATCAATGCAAATGGTATCATTCTGGGGAGTTTTGGAATGTTTGGACTTTAATGGAAGGTCTTCATTCTAAACACACACACACACACAGTTAATTTGATCTACAATATTTTTATTTACTTCCAGTTTCATACTTTTGGGTTGTTGGGCATTATAAATTGTATGTTATATTAAACTCTTGTTTAAAAAACGAAATGTAAATGTTTAGGTTTTTACATGTGATGCCAAAAAGAAATTTAAAAGTTTGCGAATTAAGTAATAATTGATGATATTTGTATATAACATTTATTTAAAATCTAGAGTAATCTTTATTGTATCAGGTATGATTCTTATACCACTAATTTAGACGTGCAGAAATTTAATTTTTTAAAAAATTTTCTGTTTCAAATCCCAACTTTACTGTGTGGCAGAAACTTCATTTTCCCCCCATAATTCCATGGGGCTGATATAATGCCAAGGGAGAATTAGGATGTTCTGGTTCCTGGGTCATCGGTCCACTGAGATGCCCATTGTCTAAGTTGTTTTACACAAGTCTCAAATGAGATGGCCTTCCAGTCCTGCTGGCATCTTCAAGAATACCACTCTTACCTCCATGTGATGGGAGTTTCTGTGAGGCTGTCTGTGGATTTCTGTGCCAACATACACAGTGAAACCCACCACTATCTGGGATTTTCCTGCTTTCCTGCACTTTGAGGCCCTGGAATCCAACTTCAAGGTCTCTCTATTCCTAACATCTCCAGGTTTCTCTGAGTTCTGCCCAAGGAGTATGACATAAGATCTGTCTCCTCTGTTCCCAGACCTCCATCCCCCTTTCTCCTTCCCAGCTGCAACTGAACAAACACTTTCATTGCATGGGTAGGGAATCCCCACTATTTTTCTTGATATTTTCTGTCAAAGACACATTTCTTCTTTTTTTTTTTTGCCTCAGTACCAACTTAAAAAGAATATTCATGATAGGTTTAGGACTTTGCAAAAAACTCAATGCCTTTTGTTTTGTTTACAGTTTTCCACCCGGTCTCATCCTCACTTATGTACTAGATATCAAGCTAAGCATCTGCTTGAAAATGGGTGGTAGGCAAGGGGAGGTATACACACAAAGAAAGAGCAATATATTAATATCTCAAAATTATTTGTGCAAGTAATTGTGTAAAACGGTGTTTGTTTTTAGCGTGTGTAAAAAATTACACAGCATTCTATTAAACGTGGCATTTATTGTACAGTGGATGGATATAAAAATGAGTGGCAAAAGGAATT